TTTCCCCTGATTAAGGAATATCACAAGTTATATTTTTTTTACCCTCTTAGCCGACTAATTAGATCATATCTATTCCACCTTTACAAATATCATTAAATGCCAATACTTTCTGTGGTTTACAGAGACTCTTCAAAGTATGGTTTCCCTGTCCGCTATCGGAATCCCATTAAGAGTGCTTGGTCAATCAACAATTATAATTATCAAGAATCTGGAAAACTAATGTAATAAAATCTGGGTTAATTTTGTAAATTCACGATTTTCTCCTTGATTTTTTTTTTCTAAAACAACCTTCTTGCCTAATAACTCGAACTTAAACATTTACAAGTATGCAAACGATCGTGCATGGTTTTTACATATACCCGATTTCCTTTGTGTGTGAGAGAAATAAAAAAAAGAATACAAGTCAATAAAAGAATGGAAAATATAAGTGATATTACATGCATAAATTAAATCTGCAATATCTTAATGGTAAATTTGTCGAAACTGAGGAACCCTAAAAATGTTTTACATGCATAGAATGATAGTATGCACTATGCAAGTTTTCAGTGTTGCATAAAATGCTTATTTGTGGGAAACTAGGTTTCTCGGTACAGGCAGAAATTCTAAATAAATGACAGTAAATTAATGCGTAAAACGCAAGATATCATGTACTTCACTTTCTTTTTCTTTCCACGTTTAAGCTGTGCTGTTTTACACCACTCATCGCACAGCAACATTCTTATTTTGGCTCTACGATTTTAATAATCTCAGTGAAATGTCTCGCTGAGATTACGATCTTACTCGCAACTTATAAGTGTAGAAAATATACATATTCTTATAGTCTTGCCATACCACGTTAAGCACGGATTTCACGAAAAGCATGTGCAACGGGGCTTTAATATGAATTCATTTATTCTGCAAAGCAGATGGGGTCGAGTTTCTTCAGCTAACCTTGTCTGCTTTTACCTGTGACATAATTACATTTTGTCTTGCAGAAAAACTGCGCAGCACAGTTAAGGTTACAAATGGTGAAAATACATACATAATTTAAGGACTGATTTTTAAAAAATTTTGTACATGTAGGGGACAGAGCAAAACTTGCAGTTTGTCATCTATCAATTTCAATATTGCAAGGGCATAACCAAGTTAATATCTTTTTCATCCTTTTCAACAGAATTCTATATGTCAATTGCTAAAATATTTGTGAATATTTTGCTGGTCAATTACATTAGATACAGCTATAATTAATTTATTTGCAAGATTTCAAGAGGTTCGCAACACTTTTCAAATATCTTAATGCTTCTTGAGTTTATGTGTAAAATCTTGACAAGATACATTGAGGGTATGCCCTTGCAATAAATCGATTTATTAGGGCCCTTCCATTACTTTTTTAATGAATCTACATACAAACACACGACAGTATCGCTTGTCTGTAGAATGTACGGACAGTTTATAAATAAAATACTAAAATAGAAATCCAATAACAGATTTTTATTTAACTGCAAATAATGTTTTATTTGAGAACAAAAGACATTTTTCATTGTACAAAATGTGACTTGATCAGCCTCTCACTGTGTACAAACTGCGTCATTTTTGCGAGATGACGTCACATTTGACAAGTGCATTGCGATCGATGCATCGTGTATTTACTGTTGTGTGGGATTTAACAAACGACAAAACTGAATGTTGTAGTAAGTTTGTATGTAGTATACAGCTATCCAGCTGTTTGAAATAGCAAATAATTTCATTTTGTGGTATTTTGAAGATCTTATATTATGTGTGACGTCATAGTAAACATTTCCCGTAAAAATTAGGCCCCGCCTCCTTACTGTAACCTTAACTGCGCTGCGTGTGCTTGAAACAATATTTTTCATCAGAATTCTGTCTGCTAAAATATTTGTGTACCTGTCGTGTTTGGAATCAAGACAAAGAGGAAAAATTTTACGTATTCCGATCCCGATCCTATTTATTTTCTAGCTATAACCAAAATCAAATAATGAAACTAAGTTTTCCTCATAAGATAAGCGCATTTATTCTGTAGAATAAAAGATGCTACTACTCGTACTTGTACCTGTTTTGTATGCTCTTCTTTTGCACCTCTATTTCAAAACAGCTGCAAAAGCAGATCGTTTAAACCGGTCTTAAAAGTACATTCCCGAACAGTTGCAAATTTTAAAGGTATTTTTCCAGGTGTCCTCATTTCCCTATTTTGAAAAGTTGTAAGAAGCAAACGTGTGGCCTGCAACAGGAACATTTACGAAGCGATTTTTGGTTGCATACTAGTTATTGAAGCTCCATTTTAAAAGATTTAAAACAAGAAGAACAAAATTTATTTATTTAAATTAATTTACAGAAGTTCAAGAAGTAAATATAAGTATAAAAGCCCAACATCTTACAGCTTTGTAGCTCTTGGTGCAGTGGTATAGAGCGCCTGGTCTAGAGTCGCGGAGTAAGATGTTGATAGTGTTGATCCTTCGGATGATCGAGACCGTATACTCAGTAAACCAAGTTTCCATGTTCCTCGAGTGTCCCTCTGCTCTTTTCATCACATGTAACAGTTGTTTATAAAATTAATCAGCAAAGTTTTATAGAAGGCTTTGAAGGACTTTGGTTAAATTTGTCTAAAATGGGGACATAGAATGGTATAAGACAATGATGTGAATATTTAATGTATACATGTGTATGAAGCAAGAAAAACGGCCCTCGTCAATGATCAGGGAACATCTTACTCAAAGATATTCAGTTGGAAACTTTACGTTACCAAATATTAAGAAAAATATATTTTAAGCTTTAAATGGAGGAAGTGCGTTCTTGTGAACGTGTAAAAGAAGAGGAAAAAAAATTTTACGGACCAGATCGGGAATCTTACCAAAGCCTCATGAATCTCCAGTCAGGTGCTCCACCATCCGAGTCATCTGATCATAGGCGATAGAACCACATTTCTCCCTCTGCAAAGCCCCACCCACCCCCGAATTAAGACAGGATCTAAATTAAGAATCTTCCCTGGCAGGTCTTTCACCCGCCACTTTCAGGGCACTGCACAGCACCAACTGTAACAGAAGAGGAGAAAAATGCGACAAACCAGACCTGGATTCAATCCGTCTCCCAGATTCTCCAAATGCTCTACCAACTAGTGAGCTATCTTGTCAACGATCATTGTCGCAAGCCACAAAGCCACATCATCATTGGCTTGCGAAGATGGTCAACGGCGATCGAACCCGTCTAACCGCCGCAGAGTCATTTGTTAAAGATAAAAATCCTTCTTCCCTTAAAGAATAGTAGTTTTTCCCCTTTCTTATGATATTTGTAAATATAAATGTACTTATTTATATAGTATCGAAACAGTACCTTGATTTGGCTTAGTGCATATATATAATTTCAAAGGTGTATTCCGTTTGAGATTTACATAAACATGACGTAGCTCTAATCTCTTGACGTAAGAGTTATTCTATGATAATTATGCGAAAATTACACATATAAACATATACGTCACTGTTTGCCACTTCAATTTATTTTAATTAAAATGTAATAAAATCATTATATACTGAAAGTGCAGAATATCATTTTAAACATCGTCAAATGTTTCTTCATAAATTTTAAAATCCATTCCTCGGTCACTGACCCTCTTATTTAATTTGAAGAAGTCGCCTGCCAGAAGCAGTGGTTAGAACGATTGTTCTAGAGTCGCGAAGTAAGAAGTTGGTCCTTACATCGTGGGTTCAAATCGATCCCACTGTGGGACGTAGAGGCTGGTCCTTCGGGTGAGACCGTATAAACCTAGGTTCCGTGTAAGCCGGCACGAAAAAGATCCCTCACTACTCAATGGCCGTAAGTGCCAAGTATGGGACAAAATTTGCAGCTCTCCACCGGCAAGTGGTGACATCTCCATATGAGCGAAAAATTCTAAAGAGGGAAGTTAAACAACAATCAAATTATTTGAAGAAAATTATTATCCGTTTTGCGGAGAAAATTTTGGATCCTCCAAAGCAAAGCATGCCAGACAAAACTGGTTGTTGTAAATAATTTACAATTATTAGTAAATTTTTGCTTTAAATTACTTATATCCTTTCGAAATTTGTTCACTCTAAGATGGACGACACCACATGCCGGTGGAAAGCTGCAAATTTAGACTCGGCACTTTGGACCAATGAGCAATAACGGGTCTCGTTTTCGTATTAGCATCTGCTGCGACGTATTACCTCAATTTATTCCGACTCATCAGAAGCTCCCGATCTTCCAAAACGTTTGCCACCAGAATTCCAAACCATCAACCAGGGTCCAACTTTTTTTAATTTGTTTTTTTAAGCTTCCTTTAGCACCAAGAGAAAGCCAACATTATGTTTTTAATCTCTTCACAAATTCGTCCAAAATGGTCGAGCCCTAGCTCTACGTTGTGTATTTGTTTCATTATAATGTGCTACACCGTTTATTGGATCAAAATTCTAGCAATCCTGATTGCCTTCAAGAAGAAAAGTCAACTTTATTCCATCAACAAATAAATGTATTTTCTAGATTACATGTGACTTGATTGAATTTGAAAATATATCAAAATAGTATCAAGATATTTATTAAACGGTTTGACCCTCTGTACTCACTAAAACTGATATAAAGCTTATTTTAACCATTATATGACCGAGGCAAATGATAAGAATATCAGTCCTCAAAACGCTTTGAACAATGATGGTCTGTGTAAAATCTTCGTGTTAAGCTTTCATGCTAGCATGCAACTAACACAGAAAAACTTATCAATAATCCATACTGCGAGAGATTTTGTATTTATAGCATTTTTAAAATCACGTGGTTCAAATAATTATGCTCTTACAACTTAACCACCTCGACAATCACAGAACAAAATAAACATTTTAAATCATCATTTCAATTTATTACATGTATACCCTGTGTAAAAACAACAAACAAATATATATATGACAAAAAATTTCGACAGCAATCAATCATGATTAATTAATATTTTGATTATTGCAGACGGAGCACTTTCATATAAAAAATGAGTAAAAAAAGTCTTGATAATAATCTATACTTGTGTCAAAGTGTTTATAAATACTGAGCACTTAAAAAAATCTTTTGATTTGTGTCACGATCTTTCAACATCTGTTTGGAAAGGTCGGAAAAGTCCATGTGACGTAGTATTTGAGTGAGCTTTCGGTGCTTGCACAGACGGAAGTGACGTAGGCAAGTTAGAAAGTCCTCCAAACAATGGCGAACAATTACAATTGTCATTATGTGTTGAGCAAGGAATACTGGAATGTGAGTGACCAAGCAAAGAGTCAGATGGAGGGAGCATACTGCAGTTCAGTTGTGTCGATGTTGCAAGAGAGTGTGGGATTGGCATGGCAGACGATCGCAAAAGCGCAGCTCCCGTCATTCCGGGAATGATTTCAGATCTGGGTCGGAGTGGTCCCGGAGATGGAAATTGTCCCATATTGTTTGCTGATCGTTGGAGTCCAAGTGATGAATAATAATTAAATGGATTAGAGTTTGAAGGAGAAATGCTGTATGGATACGAAGCTGCGGCCGCGGCAAGATAAGCATATAGATGTGGATCGGCAATACCGTATGGCCAGGCCATAGCCATGCGTTGTCTTTTGTCCTTCATTCTTCGGTTTTGAAACCAAACCTACAAAAATTGAAGGGAAAAATTAGTAAAAGAAAATTATCATAATTCACATTTTTTTCTCTAAATTTTCTTGAAACTTAATAACTAATTAGAATAAAACATACCTTAATTGTATTTTCTGGCAGGTTAAGCAATTTAGCCAACTCGCATCGCCGAGGACGGGATACGTAGTTTTCTTTGTAGAATTCTTTTTCCAGCCTTCCAATCTGTTCTCTTGTGAATGCTGTTCTATATCGGCGAACACTAGAGTCATCCCCATTAATTGGTGATTCTGTAAATTAGAAGTAAAATGGTAAGAAAAAGGATTTTAAAAATATTTTTTTTGAAAATCAAAAATACGTATTTCCTTTTTATTTGAATAAAGTTGTAAAAAATTTTTTTTTAATATGGATTTTTCTTCTAATTAAGATTTAATGACTAACACAGTAAGATTTTACAGCAATCTTTGATGTAAAGTAAAGACAGTTTAATTAACTTCATCAATTTCATGCCGTTTAGGCAAAGGTGCAAAAAGTGGTGATTGTTAGCGACTTTAACTGCATGTACATTGACTAAAAAGTCAAATAATGATCGAATAATGGATGATAGGAAATTCTTTACAATTGAAGGCAAAAGACACATTACTAATTAGAAAGCAATTACACTATGATCGCCCGTGTGTTTCATCGTTTACAAATGAGGTAATTAGGAAAAAAACAGATAGCCTCATCAACAACAACAACAACTAAAATCTGTAGAGGCGAATCGGACTTTTTATGGAAAATTAGCGAAAAAGGTATGCTAAACAAATTATGGCGGTTAAATTTTTCAGAAAAATTGTTTTCTGTGGTTTAAAATTGACGTCCTTTAGGATGGTATCTCGTTTAAATAATAATTAGTCATAATTAATGAGCTCCCATAACCTAGCATCACACAAAATCCGCTTTTAATGTAAATGCCAGTTACATCTTGAATAACACGTACAAAAAAATTGTAGAACTTGTCACACTAGCTTTAAAATTATTTACGTAGGTTAATTATAGGTGTATGTTAAGTATCATTTCTCTTGTTTTTAATTACATGAAAAATTGGGCACAAAAAATCCGTACTGTTTGTTACAAGCGAGGTCTTGTTTTTCTAAAGAAAACCTACACCAAAATCTTTGAAAAACAATGTCGAGTTTTCTTGTGAAAACATAAAAAATGACTGTTTAATTAATCTTTTCATTTTTTATGACTTTTAAGAAATAAAATTAGTCGGATATTGTTATCATTAACTGCTTAGATTATTCACTGGGAGTTTAACAACAGGGTTTAATTTATTCGAAATCATTTACAAACAAAGAAATTTTTGGAAGAGAAAATTTCAATTCCAATAATTGATTGATTTCTGCAATATGATGGATAGGACAGAAAAAGGACTTAAACGGAGAGCAACTGCAAGCACTAAATCCAAATAAAACCACAGAAATTAAACTTATAAATAATTCATTCATAATAAAGAAAATTTTAAGAAATTACAGATTTTTGTCTTTTGGCAATAAAGACATTTGTCGCGACACGCTTTGTCGGTCTTTATGGATATTTATTCTAGGTTAATATTTTAAATAGCCATAAAAATACAATAATCAAATGCAAGCATTAAACAAAAGTCTTTGTTAAAATGTATCTTAATGAAGAAAAAAAAATCAATTTTTATTTCCATAGTGTTTTTCATAATTTTTATAGTGCAAAAATATATAAGTTGCATACATCTTTTAAAAATTCAAATTGATATTAAATGATGGATGGAGAAAACTTTAAACAGGTGATGGCGATTAAAGAAAAAGGGACTCAACGTCCGTAAAAATACCTACCTTTACCATCTGAAGACAACATCTTGTCTTTGGAATCTCTGAGGTCTTCATTTGAAAATTTATTCTGAGAGTTTGGACTGTTCAACATAGAATCATTGTCAGAAATAATATCGTCTTCATCAGAAGAAACCATATCTGATAGTCGAGCATCGGTCTGCATCTTAAAGTCCAAAGAATTCTGTCGTGAGAAATGGGTTAAATCAGCGCCCTTCGTTTTTTCACTTTCATGAATTCGATATTCCCCCATGGCTGCTGAATGCATAACTTCTCATATAAGTCCTTGTATAAAGTCCCAAGAAAAATTGTTCTATAAGTCTTGCAGAAAGCACACGGCGTGTTTCCCAAATTGCCCTATTCGCTGTTGAAGGTGAAAATTTGGTTCTCTCAGTATCAGAGGAGAGTGGACCGCAAAATGAAGTAATTAACAACAAACAAGTGTATGTATATCTGTTTGAATAAGTCACATTGCTTGTCAAGCCCATTGTTGTCAATTTAGATGCAGAGACGAGCGCCAGAACTAATTAAGGGGCGGAGGCACCTGTCTTAAGCCTCACCTGCGCGCGACTTCTCGCGAGACTATTGGATAGGATTGCAGCTAAACCGTTCCCCTATCGCTCATCGTTTACCTTCTTTCTATTGTTGTAAAGAATAATTAGTAATTTTCACCAAAACACTTTCATTAATTAAAATTTATTGCATTTTCTGTGTTTCAGTTTTTTTATGATAAAGTTGTTATTTTTTTGTCGAAAAATTTGAAGGAAAATTCATGTCACTTTTATAAAATACCGAAAAAAAAAGATATTTTAAAAAAGAAATTCTAAGGTAAAAAAATTGACGCTTTATCGAATTTTGTTATCACATTAACTGCAGTAAATTAGGGCCTCGATTCAACGGTGAATTTTAAAGACTCGTCCTGAAAAATAGATTTAAACTCTTAATTATCTTAAATTTACCCTCACTCTCTTTACGGGGCCGGTATAATGGAGGAAAGAAATTACCATCAACATGTGAAGTCCCCATAAAGGGAGAATCTGTAACCGATCATACATTAATTACTAAACAAGGGTGCGATTCGGACATTCTGTCCGACAGACATTGCAACTGTCCAACAGAAACAATATGGCGCGTTGTGCGTGTTAGATTACGAGGTCCACTTCGCCCCAAGGCACGTGTAAAACACTTTATCGTGTGAAAATTAATTCCTGTCTGTAACCAATTGCCTGAGAAATTTTGTAATTATTTCTAAGTCAAGCTTCATCGTAGTACTTATCATATAGAGGATTCTTTCATTAAGCTGCCCATGACGGACGCTAATGCCCGGATGTAATTGCCAGTCACCGAATGCTGATGTGCAATTTATTTCTCTAAGCATATGTTCAGTACTTTTTAATAATTTATTAAGACATTCTATTCATTGCTTAACTACCAGACTTTTCGTCTTCTGCAAAAAATCTATATTTCTTCCTCTTATTTTTCTCTGAAACAAAGACATTGTCCAAATCCAGATATTCAATTTGCATGTACATGTATTTTAAAATATAAAATGAAAGGTATTGGCAGTTTAGTTTTTATTTTTCCATTGCTTTTAACAATCATGGGATTAACAACAACAACAACAAAAATCAAACTCATTAATTATCTGCGATCGTCAAAGGGGATCATCATACGCGATATTAAATTTTTGTGTAAAACATTACGTATAATGTGGTAGGTAATTCAAGACTCTCCTTAGAAAAATGAACAACTTTTTTTTCAACATTAGAGTGTTCAGTATTGAAAAATTTATGATGACTGTCAAATTTGTTTCGAAAATCGCAACGACAAAGAATTAAAAAAATTAGAACAATTTATACTTTAACTTAAAATTAATTGAAGAACTTGCCTTGTTTTAAAGTTAGTGATGTATGTTTAAGTTACTTAAACCAAATAACGATTTTGCAAAAGCAAAATGCATTGAAATCAGTTAATGGGTTGCAAAGAGTATACATATGTATTTAGTAAGCTGGAAATAAAATAGGGATCTGGGGGGTCTAAACTGTATTAAGGAACTGTAATCTACTGGTTTGGTTACAAATGAATTGGTCAAAATATTGAATTAATGAAGATTTTACACAATTTGGCTATATTAATTGAAAATTGAATCTTGAACTTGAAATTTTGCTTAGAACAGTAGTGAACAGGAGTGAAATCCAGGTTTACTTTAAAGTAAGTAAGTTGTAATAATTTCAAATATTGCATACCAACTGAATGGTCTAATGGTCTTATTTCTTCTGTAAATCTTTCTATTTTGAAAAAAAGATGTCATTTTCCCCACTTTACCACGGAAAAGCCGATTAGAGAAACACTTACAACAGGGAGATATTTCATTTAGAGAAACTTTAAATCTTTTGTTTTAATGTATATATAATATATATATATATATATATATATATATATATATATATATATATATATATATATATATATATATATATATATATATATATATATATATATATATATATGATTCAAAAGATTTCTCAATGCTTGAAGCTTCTTTTCTTAACATTATATTTTTGCAAATAAAATACATGCCAAAAACGTCTACATGTTTTCCCTGTCATTTTAAGAATATAAAGCTAACCATTTTGCACCTGATAATATTCTGAACCAGTTTTCTGAGATTTCAAGAATAAGGTCTTTGTAAACTTGACAATAATTTATGTATTTCTTAATTTGTTATATTCATGTAATATTGTTTTTAATTATCTAAATCCTAATGCCTACCATTGTGATAAATACCACTAGAAAGTTAAGATAAATGATAATCCCCCAAAATGTTACTATTTATAAGTAAAAGTATGACTTATAGGAAGCACACGTTTAATCAGCTTTCAGGCAAATTACATTTTAATTACAACTTAACAATGTGAGGACATAATTTCTACGATGATGTTACATTTATCTTCATTTTCATGTTTTCCTCAGTAAATTTGCAGAGAAATGATAAATACATCGTTAAATGTGATGGGTGACATTTTAGTATACTCTAATTGTTTTCGTATATCCTAACTGCATGTTTGACAACGAATTAAAGTCATCTTTTTCTTGATGCCATAGAACGAGGTGCGCTTATGGCTTAATTTGGTCAATATGTTCGAAAAGATATTTAATGCGGTTTTCTGAAATATATACATTTTTTTCACATCGAAAGTTGAATATGCCCTTCTTCGTTTATTTGCAGTCATTTTCAGTAAATTTTCACCTAATAAATTTTTAATATGTTAATGGCATTTAAATGATATGAACTGATTTCATAAATTAAAACCCCAGAGTAGCAATAATTACTGAATTTAATTAATTATTGTTCACTTTTGGGTCTCCTCAAGACAGCCGTTATAAATTAATTCAATTTTTTCAGCATTGATATTCATGATGTTAAATAATTTTAACTTGTTACTGTTCATGTTCCATTGGAAGTTGTCAAACCATCTTTTTTTTAAACTGCAGAATTTATGTCACATGGGCTCAGATTCGAATACATTTTTTGCTGAGTTCCCGTGTAAAGTGCAAATTTTACAAAATAATATGTTTCGTTGTTCTGCCCTTTTAGCTAGAACTATTTCTACCAAATGTCAAGACAAATTCTAATTTATTTCAATTCAATTATGAATTCTAAGTCTATTTTTATGACATGTTAGGTGAGAAAAAAAATTGGGTGTTCCTGAAAAGCTCTGTTGCTTGACTTCGTCTTTTAAAATTGAAGTGAACATTGCGCAGATGGTCCACAGCAGTTCTTAATTTAGTACTAGTACACTGACCTTAACAGCTTCAGAGTTTAGATTTTAAAAGAGTCATTAAGAGAAATTATGCTACAATTGATAAGAGGTAATAGGAAACATTGTTTCCATTTACATCATAAATCATTTCTCATACACATCACTCCTAAACAGTTTCTGTAAATTTAAAGTAGAAATTTCAGTGTTACAATGTATTTTATTTCCCTCTTTCTAACGTCTTTACGGACTTACGCCATAACTGGATCGATTAAAAACATTCTGTTTACGATACGATATGATATGATATGATATGATATAGTGTGGTTTGATATGATATGAAAAAATTAAAATAACAAATAGAATTTTAAATTGCTCAGCAGCTTAAAAAATGGATAGTATGATTACACTTAATAGCTTGCGTCCATTAGGTTCACTAAAAGAGGTACCTTTATTTCGTTAGTTTTTAAATATCAGATCTGCAATATTCATATGAAGGCTTTTTTGTCCAACTTCTTATACGTGAAAAGAAGAAAATACTTAATTTGGCCTTCAACTGGCATTTATAGGTATATCGACGACATATTGTCAATAAACAATGGTAATTTCCATTCTTATTTCGATACGATACTTTAAGTAAATCCTGGTGAGCTTAAGATAAAAAAAAATACCACAGAGTCTGACACATCTGTTTCAAATTTGGATATTTACCTTGAAAAAAAAAACGTTAAAGGTATAATCTAACAACCAAGCTCTATGATAAATGTGATGACTTTTCAATCGTCAACTTTCCTTACAGTCTTATGCAGCAATATACCTTCACCATCTGTATACGGAGTTTATATCTCTCAATTGATTCGTTAAGCAAGAGCATGCTCTACATATGTACAATTTCTGAAACGAGGTGAATTATTGACAAATAAGTTGATGAAACAAGAATATCAGCAGTCTCGTTTAAAGTAATCATTTCGTAAGTTCAATGGTCGAAACAATGACCTTGTCAGCAAATACAATTTATCATTGAGTCAAATGCTGACTGACGTTTTTTCATACCGGTTGCTAGTCCGTTATTACACACTGAATTGACAACGGATTTTGCGTTATTTCCCGATGATGGCAAGGACCACACGAAGGGTTGATCGGTCGGCAAGGGATGCTCACTCCTTCATTGCACCTGATCCCACCTCTGATGTTTTGAAGGTCCGCATTTGCTCTGCTCCTATATATTTTGAATTTTTATGGATTTTTAATCTTGAATACTATTCGTTATCTCCATTTATTTCATCTAAAAAATAATCGGGTGTGCAAAACACACATATGTCCAGGCATTTTAAATAACGAACTTCGTTAATTACTGCAAGTCTTTAATATGTTTATTATTGCCTTATTATTGTCCTCGATAGAAATACTAGTATTTATATTATTATAGAGCAACTTTAGACATACCTGTGTTCTACAGCATGTTATAGAAGTTCTGTAAATCAGATGTGGATCCCCACCCCCAACAAAAAAAAGAAACTTTTTAAAAAAAAAAAAGCTTTTAAAATTTTAAAATGCAGTTAGTACGACCGTTTCACACTCTACACAGTCATTCCGCGATGGATTAAGAACTAATCTTTATGATATCCTTAACAATTACTTCCTGAAACAAATTGGACGTCGGATATTTACATATCCTTTG